GAAATATTTACAAAAAATGCGCCGATTTCCGGAAATAAAAACGCTTGCGCGGGGAATAATTAAAAGAAAGATTTTAAAAACCATAATTTTAAATTACGTAAGCGTATCTATCTTGCGTGATGCAAAGCGTGAGTGAAAATCGTGCTGCTAACATCGTGTTCGGTAAAAAGACGAGCACAAACTCGTATTTTCTCGTGAAACCTAACGGTATCGTGGAATGAAGGATACGGACGCAGGATGAGGAGGTTTGCCCGGAAGGCGAAACGGACGTAAAGAAAAGGTTAAAGTGAGGATTTCTTTCCTTTTCTTTTTTATTCGTTGAAAGTTTTTAGACAAATGTGTTTTAACAGTTTTAAAACTATATTGTTTACAAGACATTTGGTGATATTTAAAAATTAAATGAATATGAAATCTAACACATGAATAACGTATAAATATTTTAATGCTGTAAGAAAACCTCCTTAATGTCAAAGATTTCAATGCCGGATAGAATATTAGCAGGGACTTTAACGCTGGATAGCGCTGCATTTTATACTTGTTTCGTTATATGTATATATGTGCGTATGTGTACACACACACACACACACACACATATATATAGGATATATACATCTCGTGGAATAATAATATATGTACAATAATATATGTACGATATAAATATATATATAATTTACACAGAAACGCTTACTATGAAGAAAATATTTTCAATTTAATTTTATTCAAAGTATTAGAGGAAAAAGATATATATAACTTTTTTTTATGTATAATCCTATATATAAATATTTTCAATTTAATTTTATTCAAAGCATTAGAGGAAAAAATATATATATATCTTTTTCCTCTAATGCTTTGAATAAAATTAAATTGAAAATATTTATATATAAAATTATATATATATACATAAGATATATATATATATATATATATATATATATCTTTTTCCTCTAATATTTTGAATAAAATTAAATTGAAAATATTTCCTTCATAATAAGCGTTTCTGTGTAAATTATATGTATATTTATATCATACATATATTATTGGTCCACGAGATGTATATTATTATATATTAACTACTTTCTTTTAAAAGATTCCTGACAAAAATTTCTACGATTTCTCGAACAAGCGAACTTTTACAGCAGGATGTCAGCGTGAAACATGTCGGCGATAGTGAAGCGTAATCGAAGTGATGCGTAACATATAACTGTGCTGTGCAACCTGTCCTCTATCACTCGCGTTCCACTGACCCACTGCACTTCGGCCTTAGATACATTGCATAGAGTGTATAATATTGCTTGCTGTACAAGATGTTTCGCCACATCAATTACCTTGTTAACGACAGATTCTTCCGTGACGATTTTTCCGTGGAAAAGATTTTAAGAAAAAATTTAATCTGTACAATTTAATTCGATAAAAAAGTAACATAGTAATAATCTAGTAATAATCTAATTTAAGATTTCAGTGTCAAGATACTTAATCATTAATGTCTTAATTATTATTGCTCCGTATAATTAAGGCAATTAATCTTATGAAGAAATTGCTAGTGATTATATTGTATTGCTAATCATATATGAGTTCTAGCGGTTTACTTAAATTGCATTGTGATATTACCGTTATAGAATGCAGTTTCGCTAACATCGATAATATTCTGGAACGTTGATACCCATGTTCACCGATGCCTAAAGTAAAGTTAAATACTCCTTCTATTCATGAAGCACAAGCGGAAAGGAGTAATGCACTGTGTTCGATGCATTAAATTTCATGCATTCCGATGTTCGTAAAGAGTGATCTAATTAAGATGATTTCTTAATCTACCTTGCAATTATTGCACTCGGAATAGAATTTAATCAACATCCTAAATACACTTCAATTATGAATCGCACGTGGAAACTGCAAATTATATCAAAACATGCTTCTAATAAGAGTGGTATTTCTATGCCATTATACATTTAGATTTGCGGTAACTGACTATTTAACATTTTTCACCGTTAATACTTCCGGAAAATATAAAAAGTGATAGATTATCTTTTTCTTTCACGAAAACAAAAGTTATAGTAAAGGAAAGTGTACTATTGAAAATAAAGGTATGTAAAGTATCTCGGGAAGTGTTTCCACACAACACATACATATAGTTTCATATTTTTAATTAAAAATTAAAAAATTATGAGAAGAGAAGGTAATCTGATTAAATTTTCATGAAGAGTAAAAGTAAGCACAAATTAATTAATTGATTAAAAGATTTACCTATAGATTTAAATCAAATAAACAATGGTAAACCAAGAAACGTATATGTATACGTTTACAATTTTCACTAACTATATGTAGCTTACAATGAGATAGTCGTAAGTCAGAGAGATAGTCTAGATAGCTGCACGAAATGTTCCAATTAAAAATATCCTTTCTTTCAATTAAAAATTTTTTTGAAAAATCGGAAGAGCATTTTACAATAAAAATATTGATGCTTTTAAACGTACATTACTTTCAAATTAAGTGACTTATTTTGAAATCAAAATGACATTTTTCTTGAAACATAATATTACACGGTAAAAAACATTTTGTATTTCTGTTAAAATTTTCTCGTATAAAAATTTGTGTGTTAAATTTTTAACATACTCTTATGTTAATGTAACATAAAGAAAAGTTATTATCATTGCGTTATTTTGACATTTCTGCGTTGAATTAATATTTACCGTTTCTAAGAGTCAAAACAACACAATTAATATGCAAATGCACGAATTTTTGATGAAATATATTATATGTTAAAATGAACAGATAAGTTGTGTTTTTTTTCTCTTTATAACAGTTTCCATATGTTAAATCGACATATCTCTTCTGTTATTTATCATAAAAATGTAAGAATAACATTTTTTAAAATTAAATTTAACATTATAAATATGTTAATTTAACATAAACTTTATTTCCAGGTAAAGTTTGTGTTACACCTTTGTGTTAATTTTTAAACATATTATAATACTTGTGTTATTTATTTACATACTTGCTTTCTGTTAAATTAACATTAAAATTAGAGGGGGTAAATTGGGATATGTGAAATATGTTAAATTTAACACAAAATTTTTTACTGTGTATAATTAAGCAAGAATTATATCGGCAAACTTGATCACTCTTGTGGAGAAAATCGATTAAACTTCAAAGTAAAGACTCATTATAAAAGTTATAAGAATCTTCACAAAATTATGAAAATATCGGGAAAAAATTAATTAATAGAGAAATGATTGCAACGATTTTAATACAGTTATAATAAAAAGATTGAATTTATTTCTTACCGGCGCAACTTTGAAAAAATTGAACATAAAGTACGGTATCGCGATCCTAATCGACTACACAGTATGAAGTAAGAATGTAAGATAATAAACTATGTGATTTAGTTTGCTCGTTATTTATCAAGATAACAAGAAGATACGTCGACTATATAATGAGAATTAGCTACTCGACCTTGCGCGCAACGCTAATTATGCACGCTCCTTGAACGTGGCAAGAGTTATGGTATGATACGGTAGCTCTCACTTTGATATGATTTAATCATAAACATGATATAAGATCTATACTGCTTCGTTATTAATGCTAGGAATCACTGAGAAGGCAAAAATATTGTTTTAACGCAGATGCAGATTAAACTTTTAATATTAAAAATGTTTGGCTATGGAATCTTTTCAAACAATTAACAATATTGTATTTTTCAATAAATTTTATCTTGATTTTGTATCAATAAAAACATAATTTATGTATAAAATCATAATAATTTTACTAAGAAAATATCTTTTTAGAATTTTTAAATGATTGATAAGAAAAAATGTGTGATTAATATTGTCAAGATGTTACGTAGAATCCTATTTTTAATTTTTCTTTACACACATATAATTTTTCTATTAGATTATACATATATTATGTATTAAAAATTTATAGAGATGAATATATATATAAAATATTCCTAAAATAATTTACATATGTCTCATCTCGTATGGAACATTAAATTTAATGCGACTTGACATTTAATTTATATTCTAAGCTTACATTTTAACACTAATAAACGCTGCATATGATTAGTTCCAATAACATCCTATACAGCATATATTTCCAAAAGACATCTAAAAAATAACTTAAATTCTTACCGCGCGCGTCGAAATATTTTTAAGATATCTTTTGGCCTTTTCTATATTGTTTGAAATATAACTTATATTCGAAGGATAAATTTCACAATTCCCTTTTTATAACTGTAATATAGGAATTTTGTTTCACTATAAAGTCATCTATTGGCATTTATTGTTGAAATCAATAATAATAAAATATAATTTGAAAGCAGTAAAATGGATTTTAAAAACATTCAATAAATTATCGTATCATATATCATTTGTAAAATAACAAGGAAATTGATATAAATTTAAATATTTTTTTAACTCGAACTCTCTCCACTCTTCTATTTAAAGAAATTATTTATCTTGTATCATTCATTTTTTTTCTTCGATTTTTATTTCTCTCCGATGAACATGACTAATTCAAGTGATACTCAAGTTAGCTAAATATTTTGTGGCAATCAATTAACGCTAGATTGACTATCTTTACAGAATAAGAAGTAATTAAGACAGCTGACGAGAACAATGGCAATTTAGAATTCATGCTGCAACCTTGTTCCGGTCTGATTCTCGGCACGAATTCTACGTATATTTAATAATAAGCCAATTTTACGGCGGTTAAAAATCATGGTTTATAATAAATTAACTGGATTATCAATCCGAAAATGATGTAAGAGTGAGTCTCACCGTTGTTTAACATTTACGTTCAAAATTAATAATTAGCATTTTAAAGTTTAAATAACTAATAAAGACGTCAATGGCATAATAAAAGATTAAGGTAAAAATACATGTATAGAGCTGATGCCGAAATTTTGAAGCGCAATAAATTTTTAATTTTTAATTTTCAATGTCAAACTTATCAAAACTATCTATCATTAATTATCGTATTATATAAAGAATGCAGTAACTCACCATGCCTGAGTTTTCCCTTTTTAGATATTAGGAAGGATAACGGTCTCGGCACTTTTTCAGTACAAATATTGTCACTGTTGTCAGTCCTCAAACCGAAAAGAGCGTTCCTGCCGACTTTCATGTACTGCCTGCCCATCACCTTCGGGGATCCCGTCCCGAACAAGGATGTGATAAACTTCATCTTTGATTTTTGATTGATTCACGAATCGTGCAGAAAAATAATTCTCTTGAGCTCGTTGATCAGTAAAAGACTCGATCTTATTCAAAAAAACACTGATAGGATAGTTCTACATCAAGTTCGAATTAATCACGTCACTTATATTTAACTTAATTTTCACTGGCTGTCTGCAATTTATTAATAATGTTTTTCAAAAATAATATATTTAATGTTTATTAATCATATCTTTTTCCAGAAGCGATTCTTAATGATCTTCGACAGTCGGTCTTTGATTGATGATAAATCATTAATCTCAATCGAATAAAAGTGGATCATCCAGAGCTAGACGGCTAATGAATCGCTTTACGCTCTGATTGATGATTAAAAGCGCATTAATTCAGGATTGCGTCTGCAGAGGATCATCATTATCATTATCATCATCATCATAATCATTATCATCTAGCGTCACTCCGCCGAGCATTGTCGTCGCTGTAAGTGCGTACCTGCGTCGTCATTATCATCGTTATTATCAATATCGCCTCGTCGTCGTGTTGATAGCGCGATTTCGACAGGTACCACCACACCACGTGTCTCTTGCGTTCGTATTACGCACTGGACTTTCACGCCTGGTCCAGGTGGGACGCGCGTTGCCTCGGCTTCACTTTCACTCGTCGCGATCTCGTCGTTGATCCTTCATTCTTGGTTTTTACCTGAAATGCGAAACCAAATCGAGATTAAAAAGAGAAGGTAAAAGCGAAAAAGAAATCGGCCAAGTTAATCGCGACCGAAAAAATACAACGAAGAGCAAGTCATGATATACATGTTTCGCGACGTAACTGTTTGCCATCGAATACGCATTACGTAAATGCAAAGTATGCATTTATGAAAATTTTGGTCGTGCGATTTCATTATGTCAATATTAAAATTGTTCGATCAAAATTTATTTGTGGAAACACATTGCTAAATTTGTATTTTTGCATAGGTATAATTTATTAGTTGTATTTCTCTTATGGACATTATAATAAAAATCGACATTATAATTAAAATCAATTTCTTAGAAACGTGATGTTATATTAAAGTATGTATATAAAAATATTGTTTATTTCAACCCTAAATTTAATGTTACATTAGAGATTTATTTCTGATTTTATATGACTATTTATCAATAAATATTGATAAATAGTCATATAAAATGCAAACAATGTTGTCACTTTGAACATTTATTATATGACATAAAGATGCAATGAGGTCAGTATGAGAGGTAGAAGGTATTGCACTAAGTAAATATTAGTCAACAAAAAAGAGAAGTTTAATTTTTTTAAAAATCCATGTGTGCAAAAAAGGCGATCAACAATATCAAAGATCAAGGAACGAAGTGCATCTTTATAAAAATGATGCACGTAAATAAATATCACGTACAATAGAAAAAAATAGGACAATTACACGATTCGTTCGTAAAATACATATATTTAAATGCAAATATTTTTAATATGTTTACATGTGCAAATGTTTAATAATTCATAGAAATTTGTCATTGTCAATTACATTGAGAGAAAAAGCTTTGCTATCTTGCGTTAAGGATAAATCAATTACATATTATGATTATATAATATTATATAATTCTCGATTTTGAGGAGATATCACACAGCTCTTTTAAGTTAAATTAAAAAAAAGATTATATATAAATATATTCATGAAAAATATAATTAAATAACAAAGTTTTTAATATTTTATTTCTCGACTATTTTAAATAACTAAAAATAAAATATGTTGTACTTTGAAATTTAATTGCAAAATGTGTTTAATTATGTAATGTTTAAAAAATGCTCACGTTTAAAAATACTGTTTGATTAAAAGTACAAGAATATTACTAGTTTCTAAGAAATAAATGTATAAATTATTTATTGGAAACGTACGATCTGATACATATATAATCATTTAAGATCTTTTATATCGTGTCATAGTACTAACTGTTTTGTGACAAAAAATGCCACATTATATTAAATGATACCTGTTGAAACAGTCAATTAAGCAATTACATTGCTGACGCACACAATCGTCACAAACACTATTTTATATTTATTATTATTTTATTTACAAAACACTCTCGCGATCAATTGCTGCGATTATACAAACAAGATCAAATTAAAAATACATCAATATAAAAACGTCATACGTCAAATGAATAATACTTTAATCCTTACATGTGCGTAATATCGGAACCGCATAAATATAATCCATGTTTCAGCAGAATAGCTCTTCTTCCTTTATTTTCACGCAAGATACATTGCATAACTTAATTGTATCTTGAATTTTTAAAGAATCAAAGTCAATTAAAAATAATTACTTGAAGAAATCGATGTTTCTCGAACGCCAAAATCAAATGTATCGCACGACACAATAAATAAAGATATCTCTTTATACTTTTACGTGACCTAAGATTTCTGACATGTAATTGAAACAGACGAGTGACGTTAAGAACGACCACGTTTAAAAATGCAAAGTTTATTCCTTCATGTTTACCCACTTTTTTCGTACGATTTTGGGAAAAAACTGAGAACAGATCAATTAAAATAAATGTATGTAGAACTAATTTGTCTTTTGACAATATATACATATGTAAATGTAAAGACTTAGTATGAATTACATTTTCAGTAAGAATAAACGAGAACGAAATCTGGTTATAAATACTTCGACACTCGTCAATACGTTGATATAACAATCATATAACAATGAAAACTATTTATTATTTTGGTTTTGTATTCTTATATACAATATTTCATTATTTTTACGTTTGCTTCACTTTATTGTATTTTTTCAAGAGACATAACTAGTGTCATATCTACATTAAAAGAGAGAAAAAAATTAATTCTGAGTCTTGTTATATATATATATATATATCCGAATTATGTTGTAGACATAAATATATTTCTATGTAGAAAAGATTAAAATACGTATTTATATGCGTTGAACGAAATGCAAATCAATTTTTTCAATCAAACTCAATTAAAAATTGCCTGTTTTATTAGCTTCATCTTATCTTCAGCTTATCTCGATATTTTAAATTTAAAATTAATATTAAAATTTTTATTGATTCTCAGCAAAATTAGTATGTAGAAAAAATATATTAATAAAATATTAATGAACAAACGCGAGCATGTTGCGAAATTAAGGCATACTTGAGGGCATGGAATGTTATTAGCTTTAAATATCACATAACCTGTAGAACTAGCATACTTTCTCTCAATTATAAATTGTTTGGCGAATTTTAAGTCGGTTTCCCCGCAGCAAAAAAATTGAATTTACATTCTCTTTTTTATAATCTTATTTCAACATTTGTCCGTGAAATTATTAATCAAATGTATAAAGAAAGAATGTTAATTAAAGAGTCGCCGAAATTTACATAAATTTATTAGCGCGTCTGCCTGGAATTCTTTCGAAAAGTGGTTCTTCTATAGCAAATACAATGACGCAGGTATAATCATTACTAAATCACTAAAACAACCTCTCAGAGCAACCTCTGGGCAATGGTTTCTCGAAATAGAAACAGGATGACGTTAGGACTTTTTTACCAACTTAAAAAGATAAAAAAAAAAAGATAAAGACTAGTTTGTCTTCTCAGGTTTAATTTCTACTTCCAAATATGACCAGTCCTAATTTAACATTTGATTATGATGTTTTCGAGCAAAATATCTTACATATAAAGAATTCCTAATTGCAATACCGTTCACAAAATTTAATAAATTAAATGAGAGTCGCATTGAATTGCTTCAAGGTCTCTAGAAAAATGGTTAATAATCACACGTACGCGTCTGTTACAAATGCGATTGCATTGGAGCGTTTCGCATATGTCTCGCATGAAATTATTTGCCGTTCTTTTTCTCTTTCTCTTTAAGGCGTATATATGTATGTGAGTACACACTTAGAAAATGATATGCACTAACACAATCTTATGACTGTGACTTTCTGTCTCGTATTTGCAAGGGCGATCGGCAACGATACTTTCGGTACTTTTACTCGCCACTGTCTCTTATTGCTTAATGCACGGTTATAACAACACATGCGCATTGTTCAGGTGGTCCTACCGCTTTCGCAGCTCGACGATAGTAAGCCAGATAGGCCGATATCTCTCTCGTTGATCTCCGTGAATTTACATTTATATGATATATCGTAATTTTTTATTTCTATTATAATCTGTATTTTGTATCTCGCAGATATAACGAGCGCAATAATGTTACAGATGTGATAGAATAATGATGCGGATCATTATTTGAGATGATAACGCACATAGAAGAAGTCACACGAGAGTGATTTCACACGGACTATGTAAGAAATCCCGTTTTTTTTTTATTTAAATGCATACGTATGAAATGCGTATTTATCCTTGCTTAACATATCATCACGTTATTTATAATCTGTTATTTATAATCGACGCTTACACAGCAAAATACATGGATATTTTGCGATGATAGCGTGTAGTTCAAACTGATCGAGCTTGTATTTCCGCCTATTGACGAATACATAGTTACACAGTATCGATATGTGTGTATATATAGTGTTGATATGCGTGTTAGCCTTAATTGCTGATCTCATTATTTTAATCATAGTTGACACTCAATGATAACGTCGGTAGTGTTTTTAATGCAACTTTCCAATCAAGGATCAAGGAACAAGGTAGTCCCTCATTAAGTATTACATAGGAGAATGTAAATATGTTAGAAAGTGAAGTAAGTAGAATTTCTATCTTTAGAATTTTAACCTTTGTAGGTGTTAGCAAGTGTACGTGTAAATAATTTGCATAAAATATTATACACTTGCTTTTCGCATACATCTTCTATATGAATCGAATTTGATTGATATATCTGTGAAACTGCGATCTTAATTATTACATAATGATAGATATATTAAGAAGCTGATGTTTTCCGCAAACATTGTACGTGATTGATACGTCTCTTTGTAATTACAAAGATTTATTATTACACTGGTCAACAAAAATAATTTTAACTTTTTCCTCTAATTTTGTAGTTTTGGGCTTATTTAAGTGTGCTGATTTCGAGTACGACAGTAGTTTTTTTTTTAATAGCTCTTGTTTTTTAATATTTTTAGACTACCCCCTTTAGACATCACGTGCAGTTTTTTTGAGTTTTACTTGACTCAAAATTATTATTTTTTTAACTTTCGATATGATGTCTTCGACTCAGAGACGTTGTTTACATAATCCAAATAGTTTTTGTTATATTTGTGGCGAATACATCTTTCAAAAATATCGAAAACCTATTTCATAATTTGTTAATTGTAATATCTTATAAATAAAAAAAGTAGAGCTGATACAACTAAACTAGTATTTTTTTCGTAATCAGTGCCTCAGATATAACCTATAATACATGTTAAATGTCAGGAAAAAATTTGAGTATTGACCAGTGTTATGTAATGATAGAATATTACAGAAATTTGCTTTTTCTGCAATTATTCGATATAAATTGCACACGGAATATGTAGTATTGATTTGCGCGACTAAAGATCTATTATTATCTCCATATCATCTCTATTTCTGCCTCATTAATCTTTCCGGCTAAGATTAAAGACTCTTTATTCATATTGCATCTTCCTCCACCGTTGCTCTCTACTTCTCTCTTCTTTTTTCTCATAGTCAGACCTATTTCCATTTCTTTTCTTCGCAATCAAGTAATGGTAATGACCTCAAACGCGATAATCTTTGTAAGTCGCGATAGCGAAAAGGAAGTCTGATAGTTACCTTTCCATTCGCGATTACAAGCAAGAGTAAAAACATACATGACGCACCGCTTCCGTTATTGCGCGCACGAACGTTAAAACTAGATCAAGCTTTCACGACCTCTCGACATTACCGAAAGAAGTGAAACCACCCCGAGTGATGCGTACCGCGATGCCATCCGTTACGCCAAACTTGTCTGACCGAACACGCAATGAAATGCACAATCAACGACTCCTCGACGAGACGCATCGCGAAACTTTCGCCGACAGATCGAGCATCAAGGAAACACAACCTGGTAAATCATCCTTCTTTTCTGACAAATGTCCTTGCGAGATTTAATTCCAGTTATGTAATACGTACTCGTTTGTGCTCATTGCTGTTTATATGCGATCCCTCACTCCTTTGTGATTTCAAGAACACTCTATGTCGCAAAAAATCTCACAAAATGTCCGATATCTATTTTATTTTACCTTATTTTAATATTTACATTATTTTCTTTTTATCTATAAATTTGCTTCATTTCATTCATACTCAATTTTCGAGATTAATAAATTTATGCAATTTCTGTCGTGCGTACATTCTTAGTTTATTAGTTATATATTATTTCAGATCAATGACGTGAATGAGAATAATTAGTGATGCGAAATATTTTCCCTAATTATGTACGTTTTTGCAGCGCGCTCTTGCATTCTTAAACTATTTGTTCTGCATATAATAAATGGCTTGTTTTCAGTAAATCGACGTAAATTATTTTATTAATAAAGTAAAATTATTTTATCAATAAAATAAAAACGTTTTTTTTTATTACATTTAAATATTATTCAGTATCTATGTATGAGGCTTACGATATGTATAACACTCTTTTTTACTAGATGGATAAAATACATTGATATAAATAAAACACGTTTTCGCAGCGAGCTCTTACATACTTAAACTGTTTCTTCTGCGTAATAAATGACTTGTTTTTAGTGAATATCGACGTAAATTATTTTATTAGTATTAATAAAATAAAAACATTTTTTAATTACAATTAAATATTATTCGGTATCCACGTGTGAGACTTATAATATGTAGAGAGCGTAAGATAAATCACAAAAAAGTCCCAGATTTGCTTTTACTCATAGATTATAAATAGAAAAAAATCTTGAGTGGGAATTACTAAAATTATATAAAAATTATATAAAAAAATTAATATTATAAATTTGGAAATCAGGTTACTTATTGTTTCAGTTTTGCGGACAATAATACGGGTCTTTGTCTTTTCATCATAATTGGATTACTTCTTAATCATATGCAATCATAATTGATTTGCTTTAATTACATCATTTTCCATAAAGAACTGCGCCGCGCGTTTAATTGCCATCGATAATCAGCCGCTTCAAAAGACTTTAAAGTCTTTCGACTTATCAACTAATAAGCATGCCAATTAAATGTAAATATCTACTTTATATATCATTAGATAATTCGGATTTTGTTAAAAATAATTATTATTAAAATTATAAACTTTGTTAATATACAAATTTATTATTTATTATTTTACAACTTATAATTTTCTTTATAAACAAAAGAATATCAATTAAAGGAAAAAATATTAATTAATTTCAATTTTTAATATATTAACATTGTTTTAAATATATTTAATATATTTATAGTAATATATTTAAATGTTTTAAATATAATATATTTAAATTATATTTAATATATATATATATATATATTTAATATAATTATATTTAATATATATATATATATATATATATAATATAAATTATATTTAATATATTTACATTTACTTAAGCATATTTTTAAAAATGTCTGCTGTAAATAACAAATATTGTGTGTTGTATTATTAAATATTATCAAATAAAATTTTAAATTATTAAATATTATCAAATAAAATTTTATTGGATATAAAACTCTTATTAAAGATGCAATAAATCTTTTTTTTTTCAAGATTTATTGATATTTACTTATCTCATTTTTCAACATATTTGCATCTTGAATATACCTGTTGATTCTATATACTTTGTAAAGACGGTAGCATACTTCAAAGAAGTCGAATAGAAATAGAAAAAAATACAATAATAACATCTTATTTTCTCTCAGAAAATATCTTTTCTTTTATATTCATCGAAATTTTTGAATTAATGAACATAGAAACCCATCTCATATATTAATACATTTTATTTTTAATTTGCTTTGGATTAAAATACAATATCAACAATATTTGCCAATCTTTTAATTTACAATGGAAGTTGGTGTAGTATGGAATGGACTTGAAAAATTGAGCAAAAATTATTACGAGCGCATAATCGCGTCTAAAATGTGCTCGTACCGGTCTCTTTCGTGCTGACGTTAAGCTGCTTTCTCGCAGTTTCTTCAAATTTCGAAATGATCCGTGCCGGCCGCATTAACTTAAAAAGAGCGGCGATCGCTAAGGAGGAACTTTCCATTTCTTCCTTAGCGTGAAAAGCATCGCGCAATTCCGGTTAATTAAATGTTAAAGTAATCTACTCGCGAACCGTAACCCTCGATATGAAAACCGACTTCGATGCATCCGCAAAGTGAATGCACCGAAACAACGTATACAAAAATTGCGGATAGGTAGTATATAGATTGCAACAATTGCAGTACCATATTGTCAGATGCAATTTCTCACTATATACGATAATCGATGAATTTTTTGCTCGTATTATCCAATTGTGCGATAACATTAACGAGTGTCATTCACTGCTGGATAATCTCTTTTCGCGTGATTTCTGGAATTATTCTACGACAACAACTCGTTTGCTGCGTGGATAATGATATAGCACTACGACACGTATGAGCAATACAAGGTAAAGAGGAAAATAATGATTACTCCTTCCGCATTACCGAAGAGTCCAAGAAGAGGAGTGTGCTTCAACCGCTTTACGTTACCGCAAAATGAGTCGGACACGATGCAACAATTTGACATTTTTCTGAAAGATCTAACATATAATTCAAAAACTCCGAAATAATACGCATATTTGAAATTATTCGCTATATTATATCCGAATTAGAAATATCGTACAAAATCCTAAAAAAAAGGATCTCTTTTTTTTAAAAAAGTCGATATTTATTGATGCGAAACTTTGAACTATTGTTACTTTGCAACACTTTGAACTGAATAAACTTTTTGCAGGTCAATACATGTATATCATATCCATTAACATTTCCGCAGCGACACTAAAAGACGTGATAAAAAATTTATCTACGTCCATAATTTCGGTAATATCGGTAATCGTCCTGATAATATGTTTTCAACGGTACTGAGTTACAGATAATAATATTGCAGCAATAAAATAAATAAAATAATGTGAAGAATCATGCAAGAAAAAATACCATTAAAAAGATAAACTCGGTAAAAAGTCGCATGAAAGCTATCACCGAAAAGTTATCGCAAGACAGGCGTCAATCGATGAATACAAAAAAAAATAAATCATTTCATCTCATTTATGTTAAAATATATTTTAATTTTCATTAAATAACAAAAACTATAGATTTCTATATTATATCATAAAAATATTGTATATTGTATTAAAAACGCTTGATAATTCGAGAAGTTAGAGAAACTGAATTTGCGAATTGAAAAAAACTGCATAATCCAAATATTCAACAAATTTTTAAAAGTTTCTCTTTTACTTCTGAACGACGTATGTATCGATATGTCAAATCATTGATCCTGCTAATCTAAACACTTGATCGACAAAATATCTATTCTTCAAGGACTCGTATTTGATCGCTCCTAATATAAGTGGTGCACGAGAAATCGGTCAGTGTGTAAACTGCGCGACTGCATCCGTTAACATAAAGTAATACGTTTACTTTTAATACGCATGTTATAATATAATCAATCTTCTACGGACGATAAATCACACTGAATTTTTGCAAGGAAGATCTCCCCATGTATTACGCGTAATTATTGTTGCTAATTTATCCTCTATGAGCTTAAGTGTGTCAAGATGCATATATCCAGGTCAGGAATAGTGGTCGCTGTTGTATTATAATCCGAAGATTTGCGATAATCCCAATTAAGATGAGCAATAAATATATAACAATTTGTATATTTGTATATATATGTAGCACTAATAATTTTTTATAAACTCTCATACATTTCAACAAATTTTTTATTGTGTTATATTTTTATGCAAATTCTATTCCCAAAATCTGAGTCTTTTATAAATACTTTTTCATAGATAGATTTCTTATTATAGAAATTTCTCTTTCTATATTTTGAAATATTTTTAATTTTCTAATTTTAAAAAAATTAGATTTAATATTAATTTTCTTAAAACGCACACGTAAAAATTTTATGGCTTAAATTACACTAAAAATAAATATGAACAAAAAATATTGAAATGATGTGAGATTCGCTAAAATTAATATACAATAAACTGGTAGAAATCGGCTGAGTTAATCATAAATATGTGATCATACGCAGCGTATAATAACGAGATTTGCACGCATAAGTGATATCGGTATCTCTCAAGAAAAAACGCGTTCAAGAAATGTCACGGTACCTAAATAATCTTGTTAATCTGAAATATTATTCGAAATTAACTTAAAGATAAAATTGACTGAAAATTTGCTATTCGCTTACTTTTAATTCGTTTCCTTTTATTTCAATAATTTCAAAATTTATTAACAATTATTCTTCCCTGTCTTTTTATTGTTTTTTTATTAGCATTAAATTAAAATTAAAAAAAAATTGAAACCCGGAGATCTATAAGATAAATATCCATTTATGTCTTCTTTCATGCACTTGTGTCTTGCAGATCACTTTTCTCTCGCAATACATTTTCCGATACGTTATGCGACCGTGTTCTTGGGCTACATTCTTTGCCGCTTTCAGATGACAAATTATTCATATTTACTTACGTAATGCCGACTCAGCCATCGTCCTCGTCGTCGTCGTCGACGCCGTCGTCGTCGTCGGCGTCGTTGGACGTTCCTTGCGTGAGCGCACAGCCGGGTTCATTAACTGACCAGTAAAATCCCTCTTTATGTAACTGACAACAAGCTCTCTGAAAAAGAGAGTGGGAAGAGCAGCGAAAGAGACACCGGACAAGTTTCTCTATCCTGTTGTCGGGTGTGACTTATGAGTTTTGACCCCGTCCGAATCTCTGATATCTTGGATCTACGCCGAATCTCATAGCCAATTATTGGAAGCCGCTGAATATCGCCACCGATTTGTATTTCCCTCTATGTTTTTCTCAACGCGGTGATCACTTTGACAGATCGCCGGTCGAGATATCGAAAAATCAATCAATTGAAATATTTGTCGATTTGTCGAAGCACAATTCGAAAACTGACGAGAATTTGCGATGATCGTAATACTTCGTCAAGTCACTCTTCGTCAATGATCACAAATTTCATCTTTTTCGTCTTCGACGAAAACGAAGTGTTCATCAATAGCCAGTATTGATCACAGGAAGTCACAATCGAGGCGCGAGGATCACTCGTCGTTGCGTCTCCACGAATAATTTCTAGTCAACGGTTGCGAGCTCCCTTTTTAATTCGCGGATCATCGATGCATATAAAGGAGAAAGAAAATGAGGGAGAGAGAAATAGAGGGAGACAGAAAGAGAAAAAGAGACTAGCGGATCATCTGCCCAAGGAAGAAAATGATGGGAACAATGGGAGGGAGGACAAAGATGAGAAAAAAGATGAACGAAGGAGAAGAGATCGAGAGAGGAGACGGTCCGATGTTCGGATGTACGCGCGCGGTCCACGATCTGTCGAATAGCGAGCGAGGAGATAGTGCGATGTGGTACCGCCGCTAACGGAGACCACCAGGTGCCCACCAGGTACCCACCGAGTGACCATCGAGTGATGGTGGTAGGGAAAGAGCGCCGAGCGTAAGCTGAGATAGCGAGCGCGTACGAATTGCTGATATTGGTTTTGCCGATTTTACGAAAACACGACTTCGTCGATGGACGATACGTTTAACACTTTACACTTTGTTTGTGTCGAGATAACTCGAATTTTATGACAACTCTCCGCAAGGAGATTTCTCAAAGGCACTTGTCATTTTTATCGCAAATTATTAATATATTAAAGCGAACGTCGAATTTCTAAAATTACATATCATGTCGCTCACGCATTAATTCGCACATTAATCAAAATTAGTGTAGATTAGAGGATAACTTTTCTTTATAATAATTAAAATTTCTCCCATATATATTCATAATATATATTGTTGTTTTCATTAAATTAGATTGAACGCTACCACGCGAGCGTTCAGACTAATTTATTTATTGTACGTACCATCTATTATGTTACATATACGTTAATTTACATATATTAATTTATTGACTAAATGTTCTTTAACTTAAATCCTTTTTATATCAGATATATTTATTTATTTATTTATCGCATGGAAAAATTCTAACTATGCGTGACATGAAGTTATGTTACACAGAACAAACATTTTGTTCCCGGTTTTTTGCAGACTACCGTGCGTGCTGCTATGCATGCTTCATTGATCGTTGCAATAGCTAGTTTTGCTGTTTCGTCTTCAGTGATGGATCCGGCGCTATTCGCTATGTGCGTGAGTATTTTACCGCATGCAATACAAAGTAAACAAATCACAGTAATAATTTGTATTTTACTCTTCCTTTCGCTACACTATGTATTCTCGTATAATGAAATCAATCAAGTTTCTCCGACGCAGTGATTTCTATGGAATGATATTTCTACGAGTTGTAAGTGTACAAAAAAAGCGGAAGTAAAACATACCTGTTACTACGAACTTCAGGGAAATACCATTAGTGTATGATTTACAGAAAAAGACTAAAACGACTACTATCACCGCACGTTCTTTAACCACGGATCCTAGGACTCGTCTGATCCCTCAGGATTAAGGGCGGTCGAGCAGAAACCGCAAGAATGCAGACTGAAAATAGACAAGTCGTTCTGAAAACACGGAATGTTTGTAATCGCATTAAATGTTACGTTACAAATTAAGGATTACTCGTGTTATGTTCGTCAAACGAGAAACGAAGAACATTGATCAAAGTCTTGTTCGGATGAAGTTGTAATGTCAGGGATCACTTCTTAAGATCAGGGATGAATATGAAGAAAAGCTTACAATTAGATAGATAAGTACTTCCGCAAAAACGAAGGACGCGCGTGTACGAACACAATTTTAAAATATATTCATGTTCAATCTACAAAACACTTTATATGACTCGACAATTGTGCTCTCTTGAGACAGATTGCATTTATAATTACGATTTTCTTTGTAAAAAAGGTTATTATCGACAAAAAATTTTTAAGAAAATATCTGACACAGTAATCTTAGTTGTTATACAATTAATTTTTTGTAGACGCAATTATCATTGCAGCAGCTCTGAATAAAATTATTTTGTCGACGTTTGATCTTATATAAACGAACAAAAAAAGAATTATCGTGTCAATTAAATTTCTAAAGAATTTTATGCTGACATATCGTAGTCTTTGCCAATATTATATATTACTTAATTATATTCATCAATAATTCCATAGATAATCGCATAATTTGTATATATTGGCACAAAAATTCATATTATTTCAATAATAAATATCAGTATTAATCATTCATAGATTCAATAATTCATAAAGTTAATTGAAGGTTTAATAGTAAAAACTTGAATATTTAAAGAGCTCCTATTAATTCAAATAAAAAAGAGCAAAATTACTTAAAGTAATATTATCAGAATATTGTAAATTTATTTGATATTTCAAGATCCTAGAACATAAAAAACAAATATTGAATGTTTTTAAAGTATAAAAACCATATTGATTGTGTATGTTAATGAGTTGTAGAACTAAGATGTAATTAAATATTAAATATTTATAAATATTAAAGTAATTAAATATTTATAAATATTATGAATTCTCTCTCTCTCTCTCTCTCTCTCTCTCTCTCTCTCTCTCTCTCTCTCTCTCTTTCTCTCTTTCTTTCTCTGTATGATATTCATGTATATTTTTTCTCGTTTTATATTACATAGTAGAAGAGGCTAAATAACGCACATTTTATTAATGTTCTAATATTATAAATACATGATATATAAACTTTCTACATAATTTTCCTTAAATACTTCAATATTTCTCCTATTTCGTCTTCTTGTAAGACTTTAAAAATTTATTCAACCTAGAATACTAGCAATATATTGAATGTAATCAATTATATTAGCCAGACCGAGTCAGAATTATATATTTTTCAAAATTATATGTGCTTATACATGTACTTATATTATAAAAATTGTATGTAATTATACGTACTTAAATTGTATGTAATTATATTTATTAAAACAATTTTCTGATAATATTCTAATAACATCTATTCTAATAATAATATTTTTTTTCTCTTCATTAATTTACATTTGTTTACTTATAAAAGACGATAAAAATAGAATTTTATTAATTAAATTTAAATCATTAAAAATTATCAATTATAATTTTGCAAACGTATCTTATTTTTAAATATCCATTTGTTTATACAGCACATAAGCAATTATCAAGAAGAACAATCACGTAAAGAACAGGAGCGTAAAATTATTAGCTTGATAATTCTGTTATTTCTTCTCTTAAATAGAGATATTTGCTAAAAATAACAATAGTGTAACAAGTATAGCACAAATCTTCTTTTATTCCCACTCGAAGAATCTATCTTTAATAATCTAAAATTAAGAGAGATTAAAAATTAAGAGAGATTATAGTTAATAATTGATATAAGTATTTCTATTTAATGATGTTATCAGTGGCGCTCTCAATCAAAAAGTGATAACGAAACTTGCTACAAATTTCTCTATTGATCACCAATCGATAACTAATATTCGAGATTCAAAATTCTTGGAATTCATAACTGTAGGAAGTCAACTTATCTGCTAATGATAAATCTTTTTATTATCGTGCTAAAATAGATAATAAAGATTTATAAATATGCTACGGATGAAAGATGATTGAAGGATATTAATATGTCGATAATTATGTCGGTAATTATGAATTCGCATTAATTAATGTTGACCTTCTAGCTTTTTATAATACCTTTGCCCATTTCCGGTTTGAATGTCAAGTAGTCACGTCTAGATATTTATACATCATGATTAAAAGAGGAATCAACCAATCATATGTCTGATGTACGGAATATGCATCCGGTACATTAGATATTTGATTGGTCCTTTTTACGTATGATATAAGCCAGCATACGTGTGTGATCTTTCATCAGCACATAACTTTCTTCATCGCGTTCATATGTCGAGATCTTTGCCAGCGATATTGGCAGCGAACAGCTGGTAGTTGCAAGCTTGCAAGTTGTGATCAGTTACAATATGTCTATTGTCGATAAAATTTGTCATTATCAACGAAATTTAGAGAAATACGGTGATAACGAAGCTCGAGTACGTATGATGAAATAGCGTTATCGAAATATTTGACGTTCAATAATTCATGTGAATAGTTACTAGATGTACACGATACTATATAACCTCATAACCGTAGACCGTGTAAAATGAACGCGTCAATATTTTATAAAGTTTATCTTCTCGATCGCTAAAAATTACTATTACATTGTTACGTCTTTTTTAGAAACTTCGGCGTATCATCATGAGAAATAATTTGAAATACAACTTGTGTTTAAAATTTTAATACACTAAAAAGCGCTTTTTAATTTATTACTATCGTATTATTTACTATTAATTTTTATATGTCTAATATCGCCACAATTAGATGTGTGGTCTTCAATTTTTACTAAAAGAAAAAGTTGATTTGAAATTTCATTATGTTTTGCACATAATTTACATATCTTAATAACATTAATTATTTTTTATATATAATTATTTTCAGATATTACATTGTATTTCAAAGTTATATAATCTACCAGTGACAGTACAACATCTTCAAGAGACAGGAGTAGGAAGAACTGTGAATAGTTTCAGAAAGTACGATGGTAGTGTAGGTGATGCTTCTAAAGCTTTAGTTTACAAATGGAAAAGAATGGTAGCAAATGAGGATAACAGTGATGAAGAAGATGAGGATGAAACTTGTGTACCTGATGTTCACGAAAATAACACTGATAACCAAGATTCACCAAAGCTAAGTATTGGAGAAAACAGCTCCTTATCTGATCAAGCATCAAATTTAAAACATGCATATAAAGAAAACAAAAGTGAACCATCTACAAAACACAATACAGTGCATTCATCCAAGTTAAAATCAGAGGAAAAGTATGAAAAAAGTGGACACTCTTCCAAACACCATTTACAGAATGAAAAGAAATCCAAAGAATCGAAAACTAGTAAAAGCAGTCTGAAGAAAGAAGAAGTCCATAGTTCAACAAATAATCTTAATGACAATGATAATCCGAAGAAAATGAATAATAAGGAGACTGAAATTAATGAAGATAATAACAGAAAGAGAAAAGTAGATAATTCCTCAACAAAGGAAAGCAAGAAGAGGAAATTGTCAAATAGCAAAATTGATGATGAGAAACCTCAATTATCCATTTCAGAAAAAAATCATTCCCATTCAAAATCTGGAATTGAAATAGAGGTAAAAATTAAAGTAAAAGATGGACATCCTTTAGATGATAAAAACAAACAAGATGATAAACAGAAAAAGTATTTACAGGAAAAGTCCAGAAGTTCTAATAAGTTTAAATCTGATGAATCAAGCAGTAAAACAAAGGACAGTAGTGAAAAACAAAAACATAAAATAAAGGAACATACAAGTCATAATAAACATGATAAAAAAAGAGATTCCAGTCATCATTCTACCAAGGAAACTTCCAAGTTAAGAGTTAGTTCCTCTAGTAATAAGGATCATATTAAGAGTAAAGATAGGGACAAGAAAAAGGAGCAAAAAGAGGATAAGAATAAGCACGAGAAGAAAAAGGAAACAAAGATTAGGTTAATGCAAGAGATTAAAGGCGATGAAGGAATAGATTGCAATTCTGGTGTGTTGAAGAAATAACTTACATATTTATTCATTGTTTAAACATATATATTCGTTTATTTATATTAATTTTATTTTGTCAAGTTTTTTTTACAATCTTGACAAGATTCAATAAAACTCGACAAAAATAATGAATTTTTAGAACAATGTGCTAAAAATTCAACTTTTTTTGTTTAATTTGATATTTACTTCAAATTTTAATTGCTTAGAATACATTAATAGTCTTAATAGTACTAATTAAATTTTTATATTCCCATTCGAGATCAAATTATAAATTTGAAAACTATATTGCAAAAATTATATCTCGAGTCTCATTAATATTGATGTATAATATATATATAAAATGATTAATTATAGTTTTTATAATTATGGAAACTTATGCATATTGTTAAGAATATTGTTGCCCTCCCTAAAAGTTATCTTAGAATATATTTTTATATGAAAGCTACATTCAAAAATATAGAAATATGACTGCAAAGTTGATAAATAAATAAATAATATGTAAATAAGTGTATATTCAATTTTTAACTATAATCTGCAAAAACTTGATAAGAAATTTAATTAGAGATTATCTGAAAATATGAATAATCGAGAACAGAATTATATTATTTTCTAAATTAAATTTCTCATAATAAAAAAGTAATTTAATTCGAAATATTTCATACATATATATGGCAATTTCTATTCAATAAAATCTTTTTTCTTAAATTCATAGCATATGATTTTACATGATGTATATTTCATATTACAAAGATAAATTATATTGCTTTTCATGCAGTTTGATATAAGAAGTAAATGTAAACATTTTATAATAATTGAAATTTCGAATTAATCGTGTGATAATTAGATAGCTATAAGTGTGAAATTATATCTTTGACTTTTTCTTCTTTTTAGGTGCAAGCTTTGCAGAAGCACTTGGAATGTGCACCATGCCTCAGCTATCAACGAAAAAACGTCATAATAATTCACCTAATTTAATTTCTAGTAAATCAATTAAAACGGAACGGTTGTCACCCCCGATTAGTAACAAGAAGACGCCAACAGTGAAATCTGAGTCAGAATACGGCGAAAATTCAAACGTAATTTGCATTTTGTCATTTATTTTCAACAATATAAAAGCAAAAAATAATTGTAACGATTGAAAATTTGATTTGCAGTCACTGTCCCTTTTAGCGCCAAATGTGAAGCTAGAACCGTTGAACGTAGATTTATCGTCCACTTTACCTGAAATAAGTCCCAATTACAAGCCACTGCCATATATTAATCCAATTCAACGCAAAGAAGAAATCAAATCTGTCGACAATATTATTTATTTCAAAAATCAAAGGTTATTCATTTATTCCGATACAAAATAATATTTTGCCTCAAGATCTCTATTATTATTATTTATTCTCATTCCAGGACGAAAGTGTACTCTGGTAACAAGGTTGGTTACACAAGTGTGCCAACGCTGTACGAAATGTGCATCAGAGTATTGATAGAAAATATCGATGGTAAACATCTTTATTTCTTGCAATTATTATGCGACTAATATACCAATATTCTAACAATGAACATTTTATCCAGCGCTTGAATTCACCGGCGGTGTACCATATGATATATTAAAGCCAATCCTAGAACGCGCCACGGCTGATCAATTATTTATGTTAGAACATTATAATCCATATCTTATAGAAGATACAGACATATTATGGCAATATCATTGTAATCGAGAGTTCAGGAATAATGATAGGCAGGAAATGGAATCGTGGCGCGAGATGTACATGGTAGGTTGAATTATATCGCTAAAGCGATAATGAAAAGAAATATATGAAGATATTCTTAAGATGAATTGATATATTTTATTTATATTATGATGTTATACAGCGCTGCTTAGATGAAAGAGAAGCAAAATTGAAAACACTCACCGCCAACATCAAACAATCCATAGATAAATCCGTCCCAGTGAGATCCACTAAACTTGCATACGTAGACAATGTCGTGAAGCCACCGCGGAACATATTGAAGAAACAAGCAAAGTATGGCACAGCCAATGCTACACCTGCCACTGTCTCTAGTGTAAAGAAAAAATTGACCGGTGGTGGAGCGACTAATAACGCAACTAATATTGCTGTACCACCACCGCCGATGGCTCGATTTAAAGCATCAAGTAAGTATACAGTTTGATAATTTAGTTCCATCATATTTTACTACTGCTAATGCATTATATTAATATTTATCAGCATCGAGTGTAAAAAAGACAAAAGCACCGCTTATGGCAAAGGCATTGCAACTAATAAAAGGGCGTTACAAGCGGTAGTGTAAGTGATAATTTATAAATATTATAGAGATCTCTCCATTGATCTCTTATAATCAATTTCAATAAATAATAAAATTGTACATTTTGTCATCGTTTCGTGCGCACGCGTTTATATCGTTTTGATATCGATCGCGATCTCAATACAGCAATGAATCTGTGAATCTTTTGCATAATATTATTTCTTTTTTAAATATTCATGTGCAAGGAATCATATGTAATGATTTCAATACATAAATAATTGCATATAATTATTCAATTATATGAAGGAATTTATCCTCTTATTCCAGTTGAATGTAAAATCCATAGGAGAACAAATAATTTCCAACAGTTACGATACACTTTTCTTTCGAAATTATATCAATAATTCACAGCTACATAAATTCCTTTTTGAGGAAAGTGTATTCTTAATCCTCATATATATAATTAGATTCAATAAAAAATAGATATATAAAAATAAATAGATGAAATTGATGGTTACTCATTTTTAGGTCTAGAAATTCTTGGCTCATATATTTTCTAATCTAAAATTCTTAGATTCGTGAAATATAATGTTTTTGGATTGTGTTGTAGAAACTTATCATGTGTCAAATGTCGATTCAGGAATAAAGTGGAACCGTATTTCGTGCGTTGAATATTGCTGTGATTTTGATTTCAATTTTTTATATAAATATATCTCTGAATGTATTATGTAAATATTATATTGTGACAAGACAAAAGAACAACTATAGATAGGTGATCAATCTACTTTGCTTAAATTATGTAATTGTGGTATAAAAATTTCTTATAATCTTTTATTTTTATTATAATCTTGTGGCTGATATTATAAATTTAAAACAAAAAATAATATATATACATAATAATCTATTTATAAAATATGATTTAATTAATATAAACGAATTTTCTTATTTTGCATTAAAACATTTTTAAAATTAAAATTTATATATATATATATATATATATATATATATATATATATAATCTGATCAAAATTCTGTAATTTATATACAATGTAAAATTTTCCATGTTTTTATCTTTTATTTTATATAAATATGTACCTAATTATTTCGTATTTATATAAATATTATTAAAATAAGAAATATCATTATCTCATATACATATATATATGAGATAATGATAATATTGAATTTTAATATCATTTTCTAAGAACTGATATATATTATTTATTTGGATTAGATTTTAATAATATATTATATCCCTGAGAAAACTCTCTATTATTGCATTTCAATCGAATAATAATTGAAAGACAAGCTATTAATTTAGCTATTAATCTTTGAGAATATGATTAAAGAATAGGAGACTTAATATTTTAATTAAAGTAATTTCAACTTTATTATTTAAAAATAAATTTTATGATGTACGATGTTAAAAATATATAAGTATACTTACACATGTTCCTTTCTTTCCCTAAAAATGCTTTATTTTACCTCTAAATTACAAAAATGGAATTAATTTTGTTTGATAATAATCATTTATATAATTTCGTTCAAAAAAAGTCTACTAAAGAAAATATGATTCTTTGTATATTGTGAGATATATATTTATACATCTTGCATATTTTATATTTAAATATATAAATATATAAGAATACTGATTTTAGTTTGAGCCGTTTCGCAGTATCAAAATAATATATCATGTTGTCACTCTTATATACATCATATTATAGATATAGAAAACATCGTCGTAAAATAATCCTATAATTTGTTCTAATCTGAGAAATATTTTTAGTTGCAGCATATAATAATGCCACATGAACATTGCATGTAAATTCTATAATAAAAATATGAGCCTTTTGTAAAGTATTTTTTTACAACCCATGTTTCATTAAGTGATATTGTAAAATAACAGAAAATAATATAAGACCATATATATGTATATATATTAATTATTTAATGAATATTTATTAAACAAAAAAAACTCAAATAAAATCTAATTTGCAAATTCAATGTTTACATATTATCATTATTTTTCAAAATGAATTTCAAATTCATATTTATAATAAAAATTGGTAAACTAAATATAATCTTATACATAAACAAGATTGGTTTGATTAATTGTTAAAATAATTTTTTCCCTGAGTATAGCATATAGATATATAAGATATACAAAATCCTAAGTGATTATTTTATATAAATTTTATATAAATTTTATATAAATAAAAAATAATGAATAAAATATTATTTTTAAATAAATATGAAATTTTATGGCCAGAAAATATTAGCTATTCTCGGAAGAACGAGGGCGATACCAATACTAGAAAGAAGATTAACACTGTGATTATCTAGAAGCTGTTTACCACAAATATGTTTTACACCTTTTCCTGGCCGCTCAACTATAAGACCTTTTTCATCTATTCCTAAAAAGTTACTTATTATTTATAGCATGATAATCTATAGTATGAGAATAGTATGGATTAATAACTATATAAGAACTCTAAATTTAAACTAAATTAATTTAAAGTACTAAAAAATACAAGATCTGAAAGCATATTTACCTGAATATTGTAAAGTCGCGCCGAGAACGGAATCTAGAATGGAGCCAAATAAGCCTGCAAATGCTGCGACAACTATGATAGGCCACTGTGGGGCTGCTAGTTGCAATACAGCTGTATCGACAGTATTTAATATCACTATATAATAGAGAAGCCCAATTATTAAACCGCCAATGGTGGAACATAATAGACCTATCCATGATACACCACCATTCGTTCCTTGAATATTAAAATACAAAGATTTTAGATTTATTATATTTCTAACAATCTCTTATTATAAAAGAAATGATAGTATTAATGCCTATGAATTGCATATATAACAATTCTATTTTATCAATGAAATTTATCTATTTATTAGTAGCCTACAAAATTAATATTCTTACCTCTTGGCACTCTTTTTCTTGTGGTAATGAGGAAAGGATCACTTGTGCCGATCACTGTACCCAATTCTGAAGCCCATGTATCACCGTTGCAACACGCAAATGCTCCTAAAAAATAAATTGAAAATCACATTTGAAGATCAATTAAGAATTTAAAAGATTAAAATTTGCTTTTTCAAAATTAAAATATCATAATTGTACTGTCATTTTATCAGAATTGAAATATTGACTTCTTACCCAATATCCCAATGGACAACCATGAGCTTCGGTATTCCTTGTCGAAATCGATGGGCCTTTCTCCGCTTCCGACATCCAAAAGATATAATAAGGCCAATTGCGTAGCCATACCACTGTTACACAGCACTTGTATCCAGTTTCGCTGGCCACCCTCCTTGAAATCAACTTCAAACTTTTTCTTTTGTTTGGACCGAAACTTTGTCACTTTCGATCCAGTGACAAAAAATGTCGCAAGAGCTGATAAGTGAGCAAAGCTTGATAGTGTCAAAATAAAACCCACAAAGAGACCTAAAATGAAACAATTCATATATTCAAAATATTAATCAAATAATTAATCTTTTTAATATCCTATAGCAGCCTATAATTTTATGGAATGTAATTCAATTCAAAAGATGTTTTTTTATCAATAAGTGTTATTTAATATGTAACAACTTTTAACTGACTATGTGTATGTGTGCGTGTGTTTATTTAATCTTTTTCTCTTAACTTATTAGCTATAATATTTGATTCTTTGTATTACGTATATGTGCATGTTTTATTTTATATATTTTCTTAAATTTCAATATTATATACATATTTCTTTACCAAAAATTGCACCACTGGCATTCAGGCTTCTTTTGCGTAAACCCCAAAACATGAACAACAATGGAATGATAACTGCTGCCAACCATCTCCATGGTGAAATAACCGAGTGTTCTAAAGTAAAAATAATTCTTTTAAAATTCTTTTAAGTACTAACAAATATCGTTAACATGTCATAAGTTTAAATGCAATTTTATTTATGAATATAATGCAACCATAACTTAAAACAAAAAATATTTTAGATTGTATAGAGCTAACATTTTTATCAAATACAGAAGTATTGATTGTTTAAAGAAATAATATAATTGAAATATAATTTTAAAATAAAAATTGATTTCAGTATATAATAATTAATAAAATTAAATTCCTATTTATCATGTTTTGATTTCTATGCAAGTTAATATAGTCTTTAGCTTAATAAAAATGTAAATATTTATCCAATTAAAGAAACATTGAACAATTTTACAACATTACACAAATACAAGAAGGAAATATACATAAAAATTCTTTATAAGAAATTGCTTGAATATTTCACAGTATCAGTTGAACAGTTGAGTATTATTCATTCTTGCATAATTAATATACTGTAAAAAATCCAAACGCAGATTTAATGATAGTATTTAAACATATAAAGTGATAATGCGTTTTTATAAGTCACTAGTTTACACACTTTATAAATTAATTTGCCATTTTTTTAACCACATAATAGTTCTGCCATCTCTTGAAAGTTCAAATGCCAGCTGATGAAGATTGTGTCAACCTGCCAGTTGAGATGTACAAACAAAAATTTTATTTTATCGCACAAAGAATGATTATACCAATTATTTCATCAGAATTTCTCCTTACTCCTTACAAAAAAAATTTGTTTATATTGCACTAAATATATTTTATATTTGAATTATATGGCATTGACGTTACGCAATCCACGTTTTATTATTTGTTTATGTTTATATTTACAGTTGTTTTTTAATTATATCAAAAAAATAGTTCGAAAACAAATAGAAACATAATTAATAGAACATAAGTTTAATATACAAAGTTATATATGTGCGTATTCTCTAACCTATAATTCGAGTATCTTTTCATCATTGAATATACAAAACCTTCCGTGAATTTTCTGGTGTCTGGCCACAGTATCGAGTAAACTACGTTTATTATCCAGAAGAGCATCGAGATCGGAATTGCGCAGGCACTCAGGAGCACCGGCATTAATACACGAGAATGCCGGGTCTCTTCGTGATTTCCAAGAGAGCTCATATCATGAAAAGTTTGTAAATCCAATGTAAATTCGGGTCGCGTAAATTGATCACTGAGAAGCTGTTTTCACTGAACGCCAACACAATATACGGAATAACAGGGAAATAACTTCTTTCTGTTTGCGAAACCTTGTCCTCCTTGTGACAGCACCGCGAAAACGCAACGTAATTTTTTAGAATAAACAAGGTGGAATTTTGATGAATAGATATGACGTACTGTATAAAGTCTGTTCTTTCCAACTGCGCTTACTGTATTTCGTGCGATATATGAATATTACATACTCTGTCTCTATTATTAGATTTCATTTAGTTTTTAATGCGGTGACGTGCTCATATATAAACATGAACAAGGAGAACATTGACGTAAGAGGTGATCTTAATGGGAAAAAACAGCTGATTCAAAAATGAGAAGAAATAATCGACTTAGTGATCACGTGACAAGTATGAAAGAAGCAGAGTAAGAGAGACTATAGAAGAACATAAAATTGAATATTCATGAATCCTCGATTATTCATTATTCATGAATTTTTTAAATAAAAACTTAAAGGATTTTGAAACACAAAGAAAATCAACTATATACAAAGTTTACAAGAAATTAATAGAACACAAAAATAGATATATATATAGAAGAAATATTTGTATATTACTAAAGTTTAGCTATTTACTAACATCTTTATTTGTTTTACAATACAAAACAATGCTGTAAATCTTAGTATAATTCTGTAACTTTCTTGGCATAACCCTCTCTTTGCTGCAATTTTTATTACATTTTATTTTATAAAAGATGTAAGAGAATGTTATATAAAAGATATAAGAATTTGAGTAATGAAAATAATACACAGGTTTGATAACTTCTAAAAAGTTATACCGAGATGTATATACAAAGTGAACTTATAATTTACTGAATTAATATAATAATGATTAATGTATATGAAGCATTGTACAAAATTTAAGTCAAAGATTGCAGTCAATTGTCAACATGTTATATATACAAGATATAATTAATTAATAATTATCACGTAATGATGTTTGTTGCGCTATATTGTCGCTGTATTGTCGAGAATTGCTAATGTAAAGAAATATAATAAATTATAACGTTTTAGTCGCAGCGCGCGAAAAAGCATATACAGTGTGAGCGGTATAGTGACTGTAACCTTATATATATATATCTATATATGTGTATACATATATCTTCCTAGAAAAATATTTCTATATTATTTCCAATCAACAGTATTAACATTTTATAATTGCCAAATTACATTTTTAATCGAGCTTACTACACAAGAAATAGATTTTTTCAATTAATCATGTCCTACTGTACCGAAATTTTGCATATAGAAAAAAAGCGTTAGCTAATAATCGCGTAAATATAATCATCAATATTTAAGTAAACAATGAAATACATACAATATATGTTTGGATTAATCCAAAAGTTTAGTCTTGAAACACCGAAAAAATGTCTCAAAAATCATTTTAAGAGAATAATTGGTATAAGCATAAAATAACAATTATTTTATAATACGATAATAAAGTTACGCAAAATATACGTTATTAAAAAATAACGTTTAAAGATAAATTAGATTAACTATGTTTACATAATTTGAAGAACACGCGGGAATAATAAATGAAATATCACATTTAACAATAGTTTTTACGACAATGAGATAGTTTGATACAATATAAAATTAGCGCAAAATTAAATTAGTGATATATCTTAATGAATTATCGAATCGCCTCTCCCCAATTAGAAATCGATATAAGTCACGTAAAATCGAATTTCCAGATTCGTCTGAGTTATCTAATACAATTTTCAACTTAGACGTATAATGCTAGTAAAATCCAGTCATTATTTATTTTATGTTATGTGATTAACATTATAGCAAAATTCTCTTTAGGGTTTTCTCTTTCTCTTGCTAAGTAAATATTCTACATAGACAATTGAAAATATATTTTACATTATGTACAAAAGCATAATAAAGATTTAGAAGAGGAAAACACGATGTTTTTGTATTTATCTTTATAACAGTCTTGAGACATTTATAATAGAGGCAACAAAAGCAATTTCCCGAGTGCTTATTTGAAGCTATTTTTTGAAAAATTTATCTTGTAAATAACTATAAATGTGAAAAGTTTTTTAAATAAAAAAGAGAAAATATCAGAGAAATGCAATTTTGAAAAAGTTATCATAAAAAAAGAATTCTTATATTATCGGATTAAATCAAATCCTTTGTACTTGTCAGAACTCGTTTGAATCCACGAGTCTATGCTTACAGAACGCGCATCTTCCTTTCTGAGCAATACTTAAAGAAGTATTATAAATGCTGCTTAAACGCGATTAAGATTTCTGTATACCTTCTGTGTACAGTTAAATATAATTATTTTCTCACACTATATTAGGATATTTTATATATCGTATTTTACTTGTTATATTTCTATATGTATACCAACCTATTAGAGGAAGAATGTATGTCAAAGTATTCACAGCGACTTTAGCGCAGTAAATATTAGACAAAGTCAAAGGACAAATTAAATTCAACACTGTTAATGAATTACCGATGGCGATTACACTAGATTCTAGTCAATACTGGCTAAGAATTGTGAATTACGCATTATGATTCGGTAAGAAAGTTGAAAATGATAGAGTTCTTTAACTCTTATGTACAGATAGATTCAAGTGTTTCCAATTTTGTATGTTCCCCTGCTACACGTTCCGCATGGCCTTTCGATATCAAGTCGTCAGCGAGGGAAATTAGCTTGAAAAATTTAAATAATTTGAGTTCATACATCAAAAACACAAGGGATTTATATCATGTAATATTTGAATGATAAATACTTACTCCATAATTTTGGACATTAAAATAAATATTAGCATAAATATTTTCTTTAATACGGTATTCAATGACAGCTTGACCAATCCCATTATTTTTACAGAGATGATATGCCAAGTCATAAGCTTCTGGTGACCACTCACCTAAATAATAAGAAATAATTAAATATCTGAGAAGAAATAATTTACAGTTTAAGGAAGAAGTAACGTCGTAGCATCAATATAGTTACCGTTTTTTGGCTGGATATAGGCTATAAAGATTTCGATTGCTTGGAAAGGCAAACTCAGATAATCCACAATCAACGGCTTAAATTGCGAGTTCTTAATCGTCCAGTAGCCACCATAATCGACTAGTCGCACTATATTCTTCTCTCCCGATGGGTCTAATTTTTCAATACATCCTCTGACCCATTTTTTATTCCAATTTACAGCCACGTAAGTACCTTCTGCAAAACAATGCATTTCGTGATTCAAATATTCTGTATGATTTTGCTTATACAAACATAAAATATTATAAGTTATTATAAATATTTTAAGTTATTATTACTTACTATTGAGTACATCCAATGGTAATTCTACGTTATTATACCAACACGTCATACTATCTTCTAAGCTTTCTAAAAGGTGGAACGATGGATGAGTCGAAAGCTGAACGAAGAGCCAATTCGGCTTAACCATGTGAGAGACGTAGACGTCATTACTAACACAATCAATCAGGGACAAGGAACGTATCATGGAGATGTTATATGGAACCTCTTCGTTTACTTGAGGTATCGTCGAGATCTCCTCTAATGATACTTCCGGGAACCTTTTCTCTGGGAACTTTTGCCTTATCATTTTAAGCGCGACATTAATTCTCTCAACACTTCCTCGTATCGAGCAAATCTTATGATCGCCATCACAGGGGTGATCATTTACATATATGCTGATGTCTGCTTTTGTACGGATATTCTGTAAAAAGCTACCATGACGGCCGATCAATCTACCGACCAGATGTTGTGGTATAGCAAATTCATAAACGGATGGTACAATATTATCTTTCCTGCATCCATTGATACTCCCACCTAAACAAAAAAATTATGTCTATATTATGAATTTTGTTTTCACCTTATTTTTTATTTACATATATTATAGAGATAGAATCGACCTTTAGAATTTTTTTAGAAATTAATAAATTAAAAAGTTTCATCAATAATAATTCACCTTTCCCACTGTCCGTAGTACTTCCTTCGCTCCTGGCTTCATCTGTAACGCTGTCTTCCAGGACTCCGGAAACCGGACTGTGATTGGCCGAGTCTCTTTCATCAGTCTCTTGTCCCTGAGTCTCGATGGTATGTACTTCAGCTTGCTGTCTATCCTCTTCATAGTGATATTCATCCGCGATATACTTTTGCGATTCCATCTTGCAATGCAGACTCTGCTCCTTTTCAACAACTTGAAATATCTCCGCTGTGTTGTTGACCGTAACGTCGGACTCGCTAGGTACATTCTGACTCCTGGCGATTATATCAAAGTAGCTAGCATTTGGATTGCCGCTCAACTGTACATCCAGTTTGGACATAGTGTCAGTCTCCGTGCATCTCAACTGGCTACTGCTACAAAAAGATGATTGCGACGTTGATTTTTTAATTGGGATGTCTACGTTCTCGCTGACTTTTCTTTCGATGCGAAACGGCTTTTCTCGTGGACTGTAACAGCAGTCGATCGAGGGTTGGCCAATCTCTTTCTGAATGCTAGAGTGGTTACAACTTGTGTCAATCTCTTTCGTATCGCTCAGAATTGCTTCTTCTTCGTGATTCGATTTCACGATTCCCCCTGTATCATTCCATTGAAGTTCAGCTCTGTCTATCCGACGACGTTTGTACCAAAAGAAAGCGATAGCAAAAGCCATCGCCGGTATTGTCCATTTCGCTAACTGTACATGAATCGGAGAATTCATAGTGCGAGTCCACGGTAGCTGCCGTTACTGGAAATTCGCTGATACTGAAATCGAGGTAGATATGCACAGCTCTTTCAAGCCCTATTATTTTAACTAACATTTGAGTGATACCTATTGCAATAATAATGATGATCACAACAAAATCATTTTTATGAAATTAATAAGAGGGTACGATATGTTTCATTCAATTTATTATATTATTTAATTTCTTAGAATATCCTTGAACGCCACAATATAATATTCTTTATAGGCGTTTAATTTTGTTTGTTTTGAACGAGGCACTTGTTCACTTGGAAACAACGCGTATAAAACGAGACAATGTGCCGACGTAAAATTCCATAGACTTTCGTTCACGCATAGCAATCAGTTTTCTCCATTCAGACGTAAAGATAACAATATTTAAAAATTGTAAAACGCAATTTAAAATTTAAAATTCAGTCGAGAACAGCATATGGATTTTCAAAATATTTCATATAATTATGTAGTAATTTATATCGATAAATTAAGAAAGTTATGATATATTAATATATACATATATACAAATTACTGTTCAAATAAAAATCTATAAACAAAACAAAGTTATATAATCAAAGTTTTAATTATATAAATATAATAATAAATCATTTTCTCAAATAAAATTAGAAATTCAATTCGCGCCAAGTCTGTGAATCTGTTCATGATAGAACATCGTCATAATACAAATCGATGTACAATGAAAATCCTTAGATTTTTTAAATGTTTTAAAATGGAAAATATCTAGAGAAACCAGACATTTATATATATATATATATATATATATATATATATTTTATTCAAAGAATAATCAATAATAATCCAATGATTATGACACAATCAATCATAAATATGATGAAAATAATAATGAAATAATAATTGATTCAATTATTCAATAATAACTATGAATAAATTATAAGATAAAAAAATTAAAATTATAAAACATAATAATAGCTAATGTACAAAACGTAAACGAATTGTGTTTCATAAATAGCACATTACATATACACACATATACACATATGCCACTCATGCAAAGCAAACAATGACACTTAAGTTAGTAAAATATATAAATATATTTATAGCGATTAAGACTTAAATTAAATTTGCATTGTAAAGTACGTATAATAATAAATTATTCTCTGTCTATTCTTTAAACTTATAGCTCTCTATTCTTTAAACTTCTAAGAATATTGAAAAAATCTAAAGTATTTAGAAATCGATTATTTCAAAAATATGCTACTTTTTTTGTAATTTTTACTTATATTTTAAAATATATCATTATCGTTTAATTTTTAAAATATATAATTAAAGCGCAAAGTCAACTACGCTGGCAATCATTATGCATTTCATTAGGAATATATTGCAGCAATATAATTTTATAAATATAATTTATAAATATATATATAATTTTAGGAAATACATGTTTTAGAGAAATATGTATTAAAATGATATACTAGTAATATGAGAAAAAAAGTAATATGCACTTTTTAATTTTGCGGCAATATTGACAATAAAATAATAATATAAATACGAACAATGCAAAAGCATTATTAACAATACAAAAACAATACAATAGCAATGCTAGGAATAAAATGTATTGCCAAAAATGACAATCACTATACACTTTCTGAGTAATGGTTGACCTCTCGCATTAAACTAATGAAGCAAAACATCTTATGTCATCACTATGATCGAATGTATAACATTAAAATATTATACATTCCATACGTAATATTATATAGTAGCATATTATTAAAAATACTTATCAAAGCAATAAATTCTCATCGCGAGTTATTTACTTATCAGTTATTTACTTATATCAGCATATAATATTATTTGATGCAATGTCTCTAGCTGGTCACGATCTTTGTATTTTTTGAAATATTCTATCATAATCGTGGAAATTTATCCAAACGAAATTACGATATAATATTTGAAAGTGAATTCGAAAGGATATGTGTCGAAATTAATCAAAATATAAATTACGCGAACGCGTTATTGATGTCAGTACAGCTGGAGCTGTACTACAACGTGGTGGATTTTCAACACGTGCTTAATATCGAGGACCAGTTCGACTGGTCCATTCACCGGTTACGCAGGTGCGGTCACGGCATTCACACCCTGATCAAGATCTTCGATAATGTATAAGGCGATACAAAAGTAATACGATTTGGAGAGTAAAATTTCTAATAAGGAATGATTTGTATTATAATATAACAAAGATAACAAGAAATAATATAACAAGAAATAATAATTTCAATAAAGAATAAAATATGTATAGTCCCTTTTATCTTTCGCGATATGAATAGAATGCCTTAGGGTATTAAAAAATGTATAAAAAATATACCCTCCCTCAGGATATTAAAAAAAATCCGTTTCTAGTAAATTAGATCTGGCAGATTATATATTTATTGATAACTTTACCATTGTAGCAATAGCGACATGCATACTCGACGAATTAATTGAAGCAATTTTCTAGATTGTCAAACTATCACATTTAAACAAATGCGATAATATGTATTTATTGGAAACATATATTTATATATGTAGAGCAAAATAGTCTAATTTTTTAAATATTTGGCCAAATTTTATTATATACATATATACGTATATATGTGATACACATACAATAAACTAATTGTGTATTGATGAGAAAATATTATACAAATATAAATCTGCAAATTCGGAAATGCTCTGTATATATAACTGATTTGAGTGTGAGTTTAGTATCATCGCGATAAATAAATATATATATCTAAAACTGGATGATTGAATTTGCTTTGATAATAAACCATCAATCATTTTTTTCATCAAAAGTTTCATCAAGTGTGATAACGCAAATAATATACAAATTCAAAATTCATCTAACTGTCAATGAAGTTCAATTGCAATATAAAAAACTGCGATAAAAACAACTCGAAAAATAATAAAGTTTCGAAATTTAAATTTTACATGCAATTTTACATGCAATTTTACATGCTAAAAGATTTAATCAACAATTTTTAAAATTGAATAGGCAGCAAAAAATACATATCACATGTATTTTTTGCTGCCTATTAAAAATGACATGTTTGAACATGCTTAGTATATTTAGAAAACATTCTTGATTATCTTTGAGATTAAGAATTGGTTATAAGAAAGAAGATCAGTAAAAAAGCGATATCATAATAATCATCACAGTGCAGAGAAAATACATTAGAGAAAAGAAAGTTAAATTATCGATAAAAATCGATCAATCCGATAACTTTTTAGATCGAATTGCGCGATTATATTGCTTATAGGAGAAATTGCATTATGTTGTATTAAAAAGAATTTCTAAATAGAAAATAATTAACATTGCAAAAACAAAAAAAATCCTTTAATTTAAATTATTCAAAAAATATGTTTACTTTTATCTATAGTAATTTTCCATCAATTATATATATGTACGTTTCTCCCCATTTTTTTATCGTTTTCCCCATTAATTAAATATTATTTTTTTAACTACTCTTAAGCTTAACTTTTTCTTAGTTACTCTTTTAAGCATTAATTATCTATCTCAATTTTGAACAAAAATATTCGGCATTAACAACCCTTGCTTAACAAAAACTTATTTTATAAGTCAAACAACGTATATTGGTTCAACGTGCTCTCGGAATGTTGAACTTGCATTGCGCGTGGTTAATGAAATAACCGGTGCGAATAAAGCGTAGAAAAAGCATCAGAACAGAAAGAAAGACGGATATCGTGGTAACTTGATAAGCTAAGCAAATCTCTCTCTTTGTTGTGTGTGTGTGTGTGTGTGTGTGTAATCTTCAATCCCAAGTCCTCAAGAAGCCGAATGAAGGCCCTCAGAAGGACTACATTTTGTGAATTATAATAAGAAAAATGTATGAACACACATGCAATATCTTACACATTATAATTCGAAACAAATTAATTCTATAAATAGATTATTTCAAAATAGTTAATTAAAGAATTCTTATCCGAAATCAATATCAATCTTCTTTTTTTCTTTAGGAGAAGCTATTGATATAATTATAAAGCTCAGCTGTTGCATGATCTACCTTGATTATACAGTCAGTACCCGTATATAATAAGTCTCCGTACGATAAATTAGTCAGCCTTGATATTGTATAAATTAAAAATTTTGATATTGTAAAAACTAAATACAACAAAATGCAAAATAAAAATGTGCATATATTTATCTTTGAATCATTTTTTCAATAAATTGCATAAAAGTGAACAGAATATATCTCCGTGAGATCTCGCATTATGTGTTAAATATAAACTAAACCGCAACAAAACCATATATATAAGTGTCTCTGTACAATTTGAATGAAAATACAAAATACGATGTAAACAAACATGGATCACATACAAAGATAAGATTTTATATTTGTTTCGTATTGTGTGGTAAGGGGAGCCAAAACAAACGAAAAGTTTGAAAGAATTTTGAAAAATAGAATTATTAAATCTTCAATTTCTGAGTTGATTATAAGACTAATAAAAGAAAAACAATTATTAAGAAAAAAACAAAACAATGATAAAAACAAAAAATATAAATCTCATTCATGTAATATATTATAAAAATACTGTAATATATCGTGGATAAATTTAGTAAATGCAGTTATATTTAAAAAAATCATAAATATATTTCACAAAAGATCTTTTTACATAAATTAAAATCGTGTTATATACTTTTAAGGACATTTAAAAATGCTTCATTAACAAATGCTTCAAAATTCGTAAATGTAATTAAAACTAATTATAACATTAAAATTGCACAATAAGATGATTTATAATGCACTAAAAAAATAAAATATAATAATTCTAACAAGCAAAAATCTTTTTTACTAATCAGAAAAATAAAAGGTACATATAAACCTGGTGAGAACAAAATTTTTAGATAAAAACATAGAATTTTGAAAAACTTAACCCTCATATTATTAATGTAGATAATAATAAGTGCAGATGCAACAATTTGAAAACAAATGAAAGACATATAAAAGTTTGAAAAATTGGATATGCATAGATCATATAAAATTTTTGTGTAACTATAAAGCAAATGCAAGTATATACTTGTGTAAAATTGCACGAGAGTATAAGACCTTTGAATATTTTTATTATTGATTATATTATATTCTATCAAAAAAAAACTGTTTACATAAACAGGTTAAAAGATAAATTATTACAGCACAAGAAAATTAAGTTTATCTTCTAACAAGAGATGATGATTTTAAAACCAATAACATACAAGCTATATATACTGTATAATAATATAATATTATAATTATCAGATATAAATCCAATCGATATTTATAAAAATATAAAAAAATATAAAAAAACGAAATAAGAAAAGTATTTCTGAAGATATAATTTATGAAGATATTCGAAATAAGATAGAAATAAAATTAATACTATTAAAAGCAACAATATTGTTTTGCTATAATAGATTTATTTATTATTTAAAAAAAAACAAATATTGTATTAATGGTAATATTGTATAATTTATTAATATTAACATAAAAAGAAAAAAATATTTTGCAATTTTAAATAAATAATTTTCTATAAATATGTATATTTTTGTTATATTCTTCTCAACTAAAGATTGAATCAATTATAAAATACTAAATAAATCAATTATAAAATACTAAAAATACAAATGTAGGTTAAAATATGTATGTTTGCAGATTTTTTAAATTAAATATATATAAAGTAATATCTAATTCTTAATGTAATTTAGATTTTTATAAAAACATTTTTGTTACATACATTAATTTATACATAAAGACAAAATATTGCTATTTATACATAGATGCTCAATATGCAGTGTCTATTCGTACTCTCTATATATAGAACAACCAGGATCTAGACTGTTACCCACATACTGTGTACTATTTAAACACACAAGAGACAACTTGATATTTCTGTTGTAGAAAAAAATATTAATAAAATTATACAAAAAAAAAACAAAGAATCAGTAAGTTTACACATAGATACAATATGAATAAAAAGAATCTTAACTCACTTCAAGACAAAATAAGATACGAAAATAAGATATGATGAAAAAAAAACAATCACAAAATATATCACCAATATACAACAATCCAATAATTGTGAGAATCAACCGGGAAGGAGATGTAATTGGAGACTAAGCAGGCAAATAGACCTCGATGTGAATCTCGCATAAGGTGTATGGAAGAAGTACATTCTCGAACACTATATTCTATAGAATCCGACTAGAAAATGGAAAAAAATCCAATAAACATATAGATGAAAAGTCGATTTTAATATTTATACCGATTTCTGAGGAGATTGCAATTGGGAGATCCCTCGGTATTCGTATTTTCATTCCCATACTCGATCGGGCATCTTGATCCGACATAAGCAACGAGGGAGGATAACAGGATGCGGCCGCCACAAGTCGAGAGCACGAGGGATATGTCGCCGGGGATATTTACTTACCGGTGTTGTTAAACGCTCGCGAGGCCACGATTGATTTGCGATGGGTAGCGCGCTTTGTCCGGATGCCACCTCAAGAGTTTTCGACGCGCCCAACGGCCGACTAGCCCCGAATTTTCTACGAGCACACGCCACGTGCTAATAGTGTATTTTGCAAGCAACGGAATGCGAATATGGCCACTTCGACAAGTCGGCGAAGTCTTCCGATCGACTCCGATCTTTGCCATTCGTGCGCGCGTGTCGCGTCAATCCTATTTGACACTTTCCCACGTGACGACCAATCGCCGTTCCGGTTTGTTTCGTTGTTTCCAGAAAAGCACTGATCCGATTGGCTGGTGTGTCGAGATACACCTAGTTATTCCCTAGCACTAGGGACGCCTATTGGCGAAAAGTAAAGGAAAAGAGTTGAACGAATATCACTAGGCGAAACTAGACGACAGAAGTCGAGAGAGAAATATATAGCAAATAATCACGAGCTTGAAATAATAGTAGTTTTATTGTATTGCTTTATGCAGCAAAGGAATATACGCTTTATTATAAATTACAGGTATGGTCACAATCTTTTGTTACGTGAGACTAAAAGGAGATAGTAATATTTCAATGTTCGCAATTAAGAGAAACAAACATATATGTAAAATAATGCATCGTATAATCTGTTGGATTATCTCAGTAATCATCATATTTGTCAAACTCGTGTCGCATAATTTTAGTAAGAAATAAAAATAATTTCTAACAATTTCTAACAATTTAAATTTATATCTATCTGTTATGTCATCTGATGGCACATCTATTCGACAGTGTCGATATCATAAAAAGTCGATACTTATCACGAAATCAATTGTTGATAATACGAAACCGTTCTCATATTAAACGCCAGATGGCGCATTAAATCTAGTGAAATAATCTCATCTTTTCATGCGTTTCGTTTATATTGTTCGCGCTAATTTAATCTGGGAGTCATCGGATTTCACATTTTTCCAACAATCAAAGTTAGAATCAGGTAAAGAAGAAATACATATTAACAATATTACATATCGAGAAGAGCAATTGAAAGATAATATATCCAATATTTGAAAAATTAAGATTTAAGAATTCAATCTTGTACAAGTTTCTCTCTCTCTCTTTCTCTCTCTTTTTCTCTCTCTCTCTCTCTTTTTCTCTCTCTCTCTCTTTCTCTCTCTCTCTCTCTTTCTTTCTCTTTGTTTCTTTCAAGTCATTCATTTCTCGCAAAGAGTACATAAATAAAGAATTAAACTATCTTGGATATTGGTAAAAATAGAAAAATTTCTCAATTTTATATTGAATTATTTCTCATTCGAAATAAAGTATTTACGATCAGTATAATTACAATAAGATTACAAATTGCATACAAAACGTTTATTTTGTAGAATCAAACGGAGTACGACGCGCTAGCCCTCGGTCTAACGAGTGTGAGGTTAATCTATGGTGGAGGAGGAGGAGGAGAAGAGGAGGGATGTACGGAAATATCTATTGGTCTAGGACTCGAAGACCTTCGAGCGATGCACGGGGTCGTTTGATCTGGATGCGGGGCGTCGGGACGCAAGGTTACAGCGGTCGTCGGGTCAGCAACACCACGGCCGTCCCTCCCGCTTTTCCCTTTCCACCCCGACTACCATCCCTCGTCCTCTCGCCGCCCTCGCCAAGCTCGACGTAGGTACGTCTGCCCTTCCTTCCTAACCCTCCTCTCCTCATCGAGAGATAGAGAGACGGAGAAAGAGAGAGAGAGAAAAAAGGAGAAAGAGAGAGCTATGCCGCCCTTCTCTACCCGTCTTCCTCACTCACTGTCCTTTATTTGTCCTCACTCACTAGTGCCAGGGTGTGCCATCTTCGCGAATCTACTGAGATTCTTAATAGTTATTGCGACAAGAGATCATTGTATATTTTCAATATCTCTCTCCGATATTTAAGAAGAAAAAATATACAAACGCTTATCATTTAATAAGAAATCGTATTTAAAAGTATCACGATGAACATCTCCGCTCTCTTTCTATTCCTCTTTCTATCATCTCGAATTGATATCTTTCTTTTTTTAGACATGTTCTTAATTCTTTATCACGAAATTATCCTCGAGAAAAAAGCACCAGGTCCAGTTAATGAATATTAAAATAATAGAAATAAAAAATATTTTTTTTAATCGCGAAATTAATTATCATATATTGATTCTCAGATGGAATGCAGAAATTACAACAATTGAAAATTATTAAACGATCGTTACTATCGGCGCCATGATGAAACGCAGTAGTCGGCGTCACCCCTTCGATGTCGTCGCATCATTTTTTTATAACACCACCCTTCCCCATCGTGATACTTTACCACCACTTGCACAGACCAATGCGGTAGTCGAGTCGCTTGCAAACAGTCCGGTGGAGGGGGTGTCTGGGTCACCCCCTTTCATGTTAGTCTGTCTGTCTGGCTGGCTACTTTCCTGGGGTTCGCAACCCCTGCTTTGCCGAACGTTATACGAACCATGACACTGAAATGCACCGATTGTTTATGCGCGCGGAGTCTCGCTCATAATAACGAACTGCTTCGCGTATTCTCTGTCTCGTTAATTTAGTTTACTTCAATTTGCAAACTAATTCAATTTCACGACTCTCCTCGTTAAGAAAAAAATTTATTCCACTTTGAATGACAGGCGCTGCCTTTCCAGCGATTTTCAATGTTGATGATTCCCTTTCATGTCGTAATAAATATATTTTTGCTTCGTTAGCAATCATAAATCTCAATGAGAACGAAAGGGAAACGCCCGATGCGAAAACTGATCGCTTTCGTGCCAACGCGGGCAATCACCTTGCTCTCTCTCTAACAACATATATTAGTTTTAATTAATGGAGAAAGTGCAAAGAGCAATCCTAAGATATTATGCTGTAAAACATACATCACGATAGCATTACACTCTGTTAATCTCATAGGCGCGTGACATCATATATCTACGTATTTGACGTATCACGTATCTAACACGCGAGCATTTTAATGCACTCATAATTTATTGAATTGGTGAGAAAATGTTCGTTTTTTATAAAGTAAACAATATAATGATGATTTATAAGAATAATCTCTTCTAATTAGATTCATTTTTTTTCTTTTGCAGAATGTTTCTACGAATGTTTCACCTGATGACTTCTGATGACAATCTGTAACTGTACCTGCCGGGATATCAGTATGGATCTACGGTGAGTCTTTCTTAATCATTTTACTGCTCACTATACATGTATCAATTAAACAAAGATAAAGAAAATCTGATTATGAAAATCAAAATATGAAACAATACAAGTTAATAGAAAATTTATATAAAATTAAGTTAATTAAATGAAAATCAATTTTATGTGATCAAATTAATTAAATACGAACCTCAGAGCCGAAATAACTCTAATGTTCAGATAAGATAATAAATAATTATATGTTAATTGTATATTAATAATTAATTATATGTTAGTGCCAACGGAAAAAAATGCAACAATAATATGAGATAATTTAATTTCGATGATTCGCAATTTAATCACTCTCATAAAATATAAAAGAAAATACGGCTTCAATGCGCGAGTGTACAGTACGGGCTGAATTTTTTTTTCACGAATGGATAAACGATATCGCGTTTATCGTGCTTGGGCGGTGCAACGGTTTATCAAGCAGACGGGGTTTTGCACCCTCGTTCCATCGACTATAGTGTAGGGTTCTAGAAGCAGCTACAGCTACCCGGTAGAGGGAGAATCGTCTGCTGGAGGGGGTGTCTGGGTCAATCCCCTCCAGTCTGGGGGTTCGCAAACTCAAACGCATTTCCCGGGGTTCGCAAATTCGTGAGCGCGAGACGTTACGACTGGAAGATCCATGACACATTTTCGATCGTTGGCCATGTTCCATCGAAAGTATGCGCGCTTGCGTGCATGACCAAAAAATATTTTTAAATAAAATTTCATCATCTATCTGATCTAATTAACGCAAATTTATTTAACATGCAACATCGATAAAAGAACACTTTCAATTAAAATACAATTACATGGTGAAATATATAAAGGGTAGGTTTCCAGTAGAATAATTTATACGATAATAAAATAAGAGAATATTGAGGAACTATATGAGCAAGATAAGTAATAGAAAAATTCGATAATAAAAAAAATATCTCATTAATAAGATACATTAATATGTCAGCGGATTAACCATAATCAATGTTAATCGATGCAGCATATATCAAATACCGCTCAAATGCCGTTTTTACAGGCCTTCTTCTTGGTCTTTCATCTGTTCTTTTTCTTACATCAGTAGATATCGCGTTTTTCTGGAAAGTGCGTAATGCGTTGCACGCGTCAAGCATTCGCACCAGGACAAGTAGCAATCGGCCACCTACGTACGCGCGTAATGCACGTGCTCGAAGGAAGAGGAGGAGGAAAAGAAGGAGGAGGGCGCACACGTATTGCAAGTAATAAAACTCGACGAAAATGAGTCGACGAGCATAAAAGTGGCACAATTGGTTCAGTGGGGCGGTGCCCCTGCGGCCTTGGCTCGGGACAGTGAACCCCGTGGCCATGCGAAACGCGTGCAGCACGAGTGCTGCACACGGTGTCCCATGCACTCCCTCTCCGCCCCCGACGTCGCACCGCGTGCCCTCCTCCTCCTCCTCCTCTTCTACCCTCCTGCTCCTCTTCCCATGATGGACTTTTTCTCTTTCCTCGCCCCGCGCTGCGCCCGTTTTGCACATATGCAACGTCCACTCTCGGGCGTTTCACTCGCCGTAATGCTTTCAGGGCCGGGTAAAATTGTTCGGTTAAATATTAATCCCTAAATCTCTTATTTTTGCGTTAAATATAATTATTTGACCAATTGTCTCTGTAACCCTATCAATATTTATCATTTTTATTATTAGTAATTTTGATAAATAGCTTTTATTCTTGCGAATTTTGTACATTATTTATATAGCTAGCAGTATATGTACTATGATGCAGATGATGCAAATGAAATTTCGCTGTCTTCTATCGGTTAAATGATAGTTATTAATTTTTTAGAGTGGGACATTATTTTGGTAAATACACTTCTAGAAATTTTAGTATATCGATAAAAATATATATTTAATCTTATTTTATTATTAAAATTTCATTAAACAATAATTATCGTTTGGTTTTCTAAATTCTTAATGAATTCTTAATGAATTTTTAACGATATTAAGCTAAAGGATATAGAGT